GGTGTGCGTTTTGTTTACGGGCGGTATGCTCGTGTGTTCGTGCCGTTTCTCGTGGTTTTCTACGGCTTCTTGCTCGTTTCTCCCTCCGGTCGTGGCCCTCTGGATGCTGAGGGTGTTTTGGATTTATGTCGGGGGATGTCACTTTGTTCTCCCTATGTCCTGCTTCGTCTTCTGCAGTGCACGCACCTCTGGCCGTATTCTCCTTCGACCTCGCATTTTATTCAGGTAAGGGTACAAGCTGTGCCTACTGCCTCGAGTATGCATGGCTTTCAGGCACACCTTTAGCGCTGCTCCTAGTATGTTACGTGGCTCGCCTGTGTTGTGGCACGGTCGTGTGTCTGCTTTGCAGGTGAGGTTGTCTTGTCTGGCGCTTCTGTCGGCCTAGTGCTGGTTCTCACTTTTGGTGGGGTGCTTGCCTAGTAGTGCTTGCGGGGGTTGAGCTCTGGCTCTTGGGCTCCACCTCTCCTCATGGGAGCCGGTCGGCCGAGCGGACAGCACGCTGGACTTGTGATCCTGTGGTCCTGGGTTCGATCCCAGGCGCCGGTGAGAAACTATGGGCAGAGTTTCTTTCACACTATGCCCCTGTTACCTAGCAGTAAAATAGGTACCTGGGAGTTAGTCAGCTGTCACGGGCTGCTTCCTGGGGGGGGGGGGGTGGAGGCCTGGTCGAGGACTGGGCCGCGGGGACACTAAAAAGCCCCGAAATCATCTCAAGATAACATCAAGATCCTGTCAGTTGACGGTTGCGCAGTTTCCTGAGCCTTCTGGGCTCTGTCTTCTTGTTTGCTCCTGTGGGTGGCATCTGCCTCCTCCACATGGCATTTTGGTGCTTTTGGCTTCCTTTCCCTCTGCCATTACTCGGGTTCTTTTTATTGTCTGTGGCTCCTTTGGGTGTTCACTACCTCCTGTGTCCCTTTGTGCGTACCTGCATACGGACATAAGTACAATGGCCCTACGGAGGGCCTCTTGGCCCGTGCGAGGCAGCTACTAATTTAAATTAAATTTTGCTCCGAGGGGCGAGTTTATTGGGCAGCGCCACTCATCTTGTGAGCAGACACACCGCCATAGCAGCATGTACAACACTCCCCAATAGGAGGAATACCTGCTGGGTTGTTCATCCTGTCACTTGTACCCAGACACAACTGGGATTTGCTTAACTGTCTCCAGTGAACAGCTCCTCAAACAAGAAGATTATGATACATTCCCACTCACTTACATGTCCAACCCGCCCTTGCACCAATAGTGGGGCCCCACCACCACGTTACGTGGTAATTGGTTCCGCACATCACCGGGCCTGTTACTATGCCGCACGGGTGGCGTGTGCCACTATCCCAGTTTCTATTGTTTCGTGGAGATTGGTCAATTAACACACACACTAAGGGACTACTTATCTTTTGTTGCATATACAGTAGTTGTGGGTGATCGTTGGCGGGCAATGGTGCGGGTTGGGCACACTGAGTGTCGGTACGGTGTCTCGCATGTCTGTTCTAGACCACACTTGCCGGTAGACTAGTTATTATTTGCTACTCTGCTGGTTATATGCTTGGGTGCCGCCTCAGTTCCCCACAGGTTGGCAGGACTTTTTGTTGGATGTACGGAACGGTTTGAGTTCCGTCATTGGTACTTTGTGGAGCTTTGCTTCTCTCGTTAGGCTCATGCGTTTGTAGCGAGTATCTTCTTGGGATACTCTACTCCTTCCGCCACCCTTGTTCACTGTTCCATCCTTGTTTACTCTTCCCCGCTTGGCGGGATTGTGTCGATGGCTCCTGACTGGGGTGTTGGGTGTGGTGTTTGGTCACCTTGCGTGCGTCTTTAGTGCCTTTTGTCCATCTTTTGTTCTTTGTTGTCCTGTGGGGCTCTGCCCCGCATTTCGGTGCTTTTGTTTTCGTTGTAGTCCCCTGGGTCTTTTCCCTGTCTGGACACTTTCCTTGACTATCTTCGGTGTCTGCTGCACCCTCACATAGCCGAGGGAGAGATCTCAAGAACCTCAAGATAACCCTGCTGTCTGTAAGGTCCCTCATGTATGTACGCGCTCCTCTACACATTTTGTCGTTGGTTGTGTGTGTTACTTCCCGGCCGCTCTTTGGGCCGTATGACTCAGATACACTTTGTGTATCTGAGTCAGTGCTTCTTGATTATCCTGTTTGGTGCTCCGGTGGACCTCTGTCCATGTTCCACGTCCTGCTTTTGGACTTCTCCGGTGTTCCATTTTGGTACCGAGTTCCTGCGATTTCTGTGGTTTTCTGCAGGCTTCGGGTTGCACTGTCTGTGGGGGGGGGGGTGTGTGAACTTTTCGGTCTGCCGCTCCTGCCTTCCTGGTTCCTTTTCTTGGAACCGGGTTTGCTGGGTTCCGGTCCTGGTTTCGGTTTTTCCTTGTTCCTTTTCCGGACTGGGTGTGTTTGTTTTCCTGCGGTTCTCGTCCTCGGTGGTTCTCCTCTTGGATGCCACGGGGATGCGTGTATCATTCTTCCCTGCTGGAGCTGGTTCTGTTGCTTCTTGGGTTGCGGGGTCGCTGTTTTTAGATTCGCGTTTTGCGCTTTCGATCGTGGTGTTCGTTTCTCGTCATTTGTGTCGGCACAGGTGGGTTCGTTATTGGTCTCCCACCTGCACGTTTTGTCTCGGGGGCGGTGTTTGGTTTTCCTATCACTGCGAAGGGTTCTTCAGTCTTTGATAGGGTTGGTTTGTCTTCCCTTCGGGGTTGTTCTGGGACCGTTGTCTGGGATTGTCCTGTCACTTCATGTTGGGTGGTGCTGGCAGAGCCGCTCCTGCTTACGTTCAGTGTTGCGGTTCCTTCTGCTCCATTCCACTTGCTGTCCTGGGCATCGTTCCCCTCTGGCCTGCTCTTGAGTTTTGGTGCCGTCCTGGTCGTTGGCCTGGGTGGTCTTTTTCTTCTCGTTTTGGTCTTTGTTTTGTCTCTGGTTTGGTTGTTCAGTTAGGACGTGTGGTATCCGCCTCCCGGTTTCTTCCCTGTTTTACTTATCTTTTGGTAAGGTAGCTCCGGGAAGCCGACGGGGCTCCCCCCAGAAAATCAGCGTTGAATGTAATGAAACGCCATTTTCTGGGTGAGTCCCGGAGGCTCCCTGACATCCCTCCCTCCCTCCCTCTGGTCGGCGGCATTTTCGTGTCTTTTGACATCCAGCCTAAGAACTGCCAGTTGGATCGCCGGCGTGGAGGGTCTGGGGCTTCCCCTTCCCCCTCTCGGGGACGGGTGGGTTGCACAGACAGTGGCGCTTCGACATGATGATGTCATGCTAGTTTGATAATTTTGTTTGGGGAGTTCTGTCCACTCGTTCGGCTTTCGGTAGCAATAATGTCACCAGAATAGGGATTTGTTTTGGGGCGCCTACCTTTCTGGGTGCCTGTCCCGGTCGATGGCAGACATAGAATGCTCCCAATCACAAGGGGGTTTCTATAGGCCATTGCTCCTCGTGCCTCTCTGAGGGGGGCCAGGTTCTGGCTCGTGGTTCCCGGTAGGCAAGAACTCCTAGCACTTTGACTGATGCCAGAAAGTTATACATATCCATTCAGCCTGGATAGCTCCGGGGAGCCTCAGGGACTCGCCCAGAAAATGGCGTTTCATTACATTCAACGCTGGTTTTTTGGGGTCTTGTGATGGCTCGCGTCGGACCCGTCGTTTCTAAACTCCCGGCGGGCTTGCTTGCTTTGGGGAGTTTTTCTGTTCGGCAGACGTTCCATCCCCTTGTGCCGCCTGGGTTTCGGTGGTCGCGCCCGAGATCTCCCCGTGGCTCTGCCTTTTCCTGGGCTCAGAGGGGCCTTGTCGGGGCTGCTTATGTTCTGCCTTGCGGTCTCGCCTCCGGTTGGTGGTCGGGTGGCTTCGTGGTAGGTGTCCCACCTGCATACTTCTCTTGGCGGCAGTATGGGGTATTTTGGAGGTCCTTCCTTTTCCTGTCTCTTCTTAGGTGGTTACTCTTGTTAGCGTCAGCTTGGTTTTCTGGTGGGGGTTGGGGGCCATCGTCTTGCCACATACTGTTGCCTCTTTTTGTAATTATCTAAGTGTAACTACCTAAGTGTAGTTACAGGATAAGAGCTACGCTCATGGTGTCCCGTCTTCCCAGCACTCTTTGTCATATAACGCTTTGAAACTACTGACGGTCTTGGCCTCCACCACCTTCTCACCTAACTTGTTCCAACCGTCTACCACTCTGTTTGCGAAAGTGAATTTTCTTATATTTCTTCGGCATCTGTGTTTAGCTAGTTTATATCTATGACCTCTTGTTCTTAAAGTTCCAGATCTCAGGAAATCTTCCCTATCGATTTTATCAATTCCTGTTATTATTTTGTATGTAGTGATCATATCACCTCTTTTTCTTCTGTCTTCCAGTTTTGGCATATTTAAGGCCTCTAACCTCTCTTCGTAGCTCTTGCGCTTCAGTTCAGGAAGCCACTTAGTGGCATGTCGTTGCACCTTTTCCAGTTGATGTGTTTCTTAGGATAGGGGGATAGGGGCACCGTACAACTGCTGCATATTCCAGCTTTGGTCTAACAAAAGTCGTGAACAATTTCAATAAATTTCTCAGCCGCTGGTTTGTCTGAGCTGGCAGCCTCCCCATGCCGCACAACACTATGAATACCGCTTCTTTTTCTAAATTTCTCAAACCATCCCCTGCTTGCCTTAAAGTCTTTCTCTGCACTCGTTCCAGGGATTTTCTTTACAAGGTCTTCGTGCAATACCCTTGCTTTCTCACAAATGATGGCCTCCGAAACACTACCACCCACTAACTTCTTGTTGTGTATCCAAATTAATAACAACTTTTCCACTTCCTCAAGTATTTGTGGTCTTTGTTTCGTGATTGTTGATACTCCTTTTGCCACTTTGGCACTCATAATATCCTTTTTCTTGGCAAGTATAGTGCATATCGTTGACGTGGATTTGTTGTACTGCCTATAAAGTTCAACAACATGTGCACAATTTTCATGCTTCCGAATGATCTCTTGCTTTTCCTCTACTGTATTGATATATCTTTATCTTTCTAATGCAGGCACCCAATATGAAAGCAATGCAGAAGCTTGACCTGGCTAGAGAGAAGCTTCAGGAGACAAATTCTGAGTTTGACAGTGCCCGCAAGCGTGCCAAGAAGGCCAAGCAGGCATTTGAGAGAGCTAAGAAGGATCGTTATGACCGTTTCATGGCATTCTTTGAACATGTGTCAAATGAGATTGATGGCATTTATAAGGTAAGTCACAGGCGACCATCTACAACCTTTTTTATATAACAAAGTGTAATTGGGATAGTGGAAACATTTTTAAATGTATATTTAACGAGGTCAAAATTTGCTCCTCCACACTCCACCTTGTCTCTCATCACCCACTGCTCCTCCACACTCCACCTTGTATCTCATCACACACTGCTCCTCCACACTCTACCTTGTCTCTCATCACACACTGCTCCTCCACACTCCCCCTTGTCTCATCACACACTGCTCCTCCACACTCTCATCACACACTGCTCCTCCACACTCCCCCTTGTCTCTCATCACCCACTGCTCCTCCACACTCCCTCTTGTCTCTCATCACTCACTGCTCCTCCACACTCCACCTTGTCTCTCATTAACCACTGCTCCTCCACACTCCCTCTTGTCTCTCATCACACACTGCTCCTTCACACTCTACCTTGTCTCTCATCACACACTGCTCCTCCACACTCCCCCTTGTCTCTCATCACCCACTGCTCCTCCACACTCCCTCTTGTCTCTCATCACTCACTGCTCCTCCACACTCCACCTTGTCTCTCATTAACCACTGCTCCTCCACACTCCCTCTTGTCTCTCATCACACACTGCTCCTTCACACTCCCCCTTGTCTCTCATCACACACTGCTCCTCCACACTCTACCTTGTCTCTCATCACCCACTGCTCCTCCACACTCTACCTTGTCTCTCATCACCCACTGCTCCTCCACACTCCCCCTTGTATGTCATCACACACTGCTCCTCCACACTCTACCTTGTCTCTCATCACCCACTGCTCCTCCACACTCCCCCTTGTATCTCATCACACACTGCTCCTCCACACTCTACCTTGTCTCTCATCACCCACTGCTCCTCCACACTCCACCTTGTCTCTCATCACCCACTGCTCCTCCACACTCCACCTTGTCTCTCATCACCCACTGCTCCTCCACACTCCCCCTTGTATCTCATCACACACTGCTCCTCCACACTCCCCCTTGTCTCTCATCACACACTGCTCCTCCACACTCTACCTTGTCTCTCATCACCCACTGCTCCTCCACACTCCACCTTGTCTCTCATCACACACTGCTCCTCCACACTCCCCCTTGTATCTCATCACACACTGCTCCTCCACACTCTTCCTTGTCTCTCATCACCCACTGCTCCTCCACACTCCACCTTGTCTCATTAACCACTGCTCCTCCACACTCCACCTTGTCTCTCATCACCCACTGCTCCTCCACACTCCCCCTTGTCTCATTAACCACTGCTCCTCCACACTCCCCCTTGTATCTCATCACACACTGCTCCTCCACACTCCACCTTGTCTCATTAACCACTGCTCCTCCACACTCCCCCTTGTATCTCATCACACACTGCTCCTCCACACTCCCCCTTGTCTCATTAACCACTGCTCCTCCACACTCCCCCTTGTATCTCATCACACACTGCTCCTCCACACTCCACCTTGTCTCATTAACCACTGCTCCTCCACACTCCCCCTTGTATCTCATCACACACTGCTCCTCCACACTCCACCTTGTCTCATTAACCACTGCTCCTCCACACTCCCCCTTGTATCTCATCACACACTGCTCCTCCACACTCCACCTTGTCTCATTAACCACTGCTCCTCCACACTCCACCTTGTCTCATTAACCACTGCTCCTCCACACTCCACCTTGTCTCATTAACCACTGCTCCTCCACACTCCACCTTGTCTCATTAACCACTGCTCCTCCACACTCCACCTTGTCTCATTAACCACTGCTCCTTCACACTCCACCTTGTCTCATTAACCACTGCTCCTCCACACTCCACCTTGTCTCATTAACCACTGCTCCTCCACACTCCACCTTGTCTCATTAACCACTGCTCCTCCACACTCCACCTTGTCTCATTAACCACTGCTCCTCCACACTCCACCTTGTCTCATTAACCACTGCTCCTTTATGCATGTTTCAATGTACATTTGATGCCATAAGGTATTTAGTATAGTTATAATTTCATAAATCATTTGCAATTATATATTTCTTGGCTTAGATTCTATTTAATGTTCTTTCAAACAGGCACTTGCCAAAAATCCATCTGCTCAAGCTTTCTTGGGACCAGAGAATCCCGAAGAGCCGTATTTAGATGGCATAAATTACAACTGCGTTGCACCTGGCAAGAGATTCCAGCCGATGTCCAACTTGTCTGGCGGAGAGAAGACCATTGCTGCGTTGGCACTGCTCTTTGGCATTCACAGGTGGGATCACTCGTCTCTTTTCCTCATCACTACTTACATAGCAGACATTGCATATCTTCCTTTGTTTTGTGGGTGAGCGTCCTGGTGGCTCTCTCAACCTCACACATTCCATGTCACTTCACCCAGATTTTAGGCAAATTTTCTAGCAACCTCTTCGATTTCATGCAGTTTGGTACATATACAGATCTTGGTGAGAGAAATTGAATAAATTGTCTCACATTCGTAGCTAAAATGATTCTGGAGATGCACTACGTTGAATTTAGCGAAAAACCAGCATTGAATAAAATGAAATGGCTCTTTTTGGTAGTTATCTCACTAAGACTGCTCCTGAGATTATCTCATGCAACTTTAGTTGCATGAGTACATATGGCCTTCTGGGGATCACAGCCTACACTGGCCCCCTTCTCATGAGGCACAAAAAGCCTCATGAGAAAAAAAATGACATTCCGCAATTTCATCAGAAAAGCATCCAATAAGTCAGCAAAACATTACAAACAACTGCTGCTGTCAAAAGACTCCAAAACCATTAAACTTCCAAATAAATCTTCAAACAGTACCAAAATAACCCTGCATTGAATGTAATGAAACACCATTTTCTGGGTGAGACCTGGAGGCTTCCCGGAGCTATCCAGTGCATGGAGTTCGTGCCTACCGGGGACCACGAGCCAGAACCTGGTCCTCTCAGAGAGGCACGAGAATCAATGGCCTATAGAAACCCCCGTGTGGTTGGGAGCATTCTGTGTCTGGCATCAACTGGGTCTGACACCCATAAAGATAGACGCCCCAAAACGAACCCCTATTCTGGTGAATATATTGCTACTGAAAATCGAAAGAGTTGACAGACCTCCCAAAACGAAAATTAGCAAACGAGCATGACGTCATCCCATTGCCGTGCCGCTGTCTGTGCAACCCTCCCCCCATCCCCGGGAGGAGTAAAGCAGAGTTACCTTGAAGTGTTTCCGGGGCTTAGCGTCCCTGCGTTCCGGTCATCGACCAGGCCTCCTCGCTGCTGGACTGGTCAACCAGGCTGACACGGCTGCTCACAACCTGACGTATGAATCACAGCCTGCTTGATCAGGTATCCTTTGGAGGTGCTTATCCAGTTCTCTCTTGAACACTGTGAGGGGTCGGCCATTTATGCCTCTTATGTGTAGTGGAAGCATGTTGAACAGTCTCGGGCGTCTGATGTTGATTAGAGTTCTCTCTCAGAGTACCTGTTGCATCTCTGCTTTTCAATGGGGGTATTCTGCACATCCTGCCATGCCTCCTGGTCTCATGTGATGTTATTTCTGTGTGCATTTTTTGGACCAGCCCCTTAATATTTTCCATGTATAAATTATTGTGCATCTCTCCCGCCTGCGCTCAAGGGAGTACAGATTTAGGCTCTTAAGTCGGTCCCAGTAGTTTAGATGTTTTACTGAGTGGATTCTAGCAGTAAAGGATCTCTGCACGCTCTCCAGGTCAGCAATTTCTCCAGCTTTGGTAGGGGCTGTCATTGTGTATCAGTACTCTACTTTAGAAAGCACTAGTGTATTGAAAAGTATCATCACCAGTATAGCATCTCTAGTGTAAAAGGTTTCTGTTATCCAACCTGTCATTTCTGTGGGGAGCCCCTATGGCTATCTGGAGCTTATAGGGCTAATGTATTTTATATTAGACCGGGACATTAGCTAAGGAGTTCAGACCTATCAGGGACCAGCGCCAGAACCTGGCGCCTTCAGAGAGGTTTCAGGGAGCAATGGTCCTGGAAAACCCCCTTGTGGTTGGGGTTTTCCTTATCTGTCATCGACCGGGGTTAGGCACCCAGAAAGGTAGGCATAACAAAACAAACCCCACATGGTAAAACACTAAAACAAAAAACCGAACAGAGAGGTAGAAACTCCCTACAATCCCAAGGAAACAAGCTAACATCACACTTTACTGCCACGCTGATCGTCCGTGCAGCCCTCCCAATCCCGAGAGGGGGAGGGGGGAGCCCCGGACCTCACCGCGCCGGCTGCCTAGCATCAGTTCGTAAGCTAATGTCAACCGGGATAGATGCTTCTCTGGCCTCAGTTTCCTAGGCAGTGTTTGTCTTGTGTGGCGTTCACTGCCGTGTGTTGTGTTGTGCGGTGGCCAGGTGTTCCTCATCAGTACCAGGGCTGCATGCGCTTAGGGGCTTCCTTCCCTAAGCGCCCTGTGAGTACTGCCCCTGCGTGACAGGGTTATCTTCCCTGGGGCATTTGGGAACCATTCCCATAGAGGTTCTTGCTGCTCAGTATTTGCCTCGCCCTTGGGGCCAGCTGGGGCTTGGGGCCCTTGTTTGGCCCTGGGTAGGGACTGGTATTGTGCTGGTTAGGGCGTCAAGGTGTTGCGCGACCTGCCACCTAAGCGGCGAACAGTTCCTGTTGCCTATGGAGACGGTGTACTTTTGCGGGGTTTTTCTTTTGTTTTCATTTTCATTTACCTGGTGGGGGATCTTCCTAGTGTGGCTATAGTTCCACTGATAGTGTTTGGTGACCCTCTGCTAGGCCCCCATGATTGTACACGTCGCAGAGGTTTTCAGTGTTGTCCTCTGTCCCCTTGTTATTTTTGGGTTTCTTAAGCGGTTAGCAACACCTTGCCTGGGCTTCCCGTAGTTGTTACCCCTACGGGCCCTGGAAACCCCTCTCGGGGCACGGTGGACCATTGAATGTGTCTTCTGGGTTCCAACCCGTCTTGTACGGTTTCGTTGGTTGCTGTGCCCTTGTCTCCGGGTGACAGTCGCCACTTTTACCTCCGTCATGCTGCCTGTTGGGTCACTGACACCTTGACCTGGAGTCTTACGAGAGATATTTTCTGCTTGTTCTCCAGTAGTCTCCTGGTGTTATTACTGTTCAGAGTACAGGCGGCATCCATGTTGCAAGCTAGGTTAGGTTGCTGCAACACGCTAGGGTGGTTTCCCACTCGGATGCCCTGGGGCCGCCCGTTTTGGTCAGGTGCTGTTCGCCCCTTTCCTGGCTCCTGACCGTCTGCGGGTTTCGGGCTCGGGGCAGGCTTTAGTTAGGGCCAAGACTCGGGCGGTTTCAGGGCACCCCCGTTCGGGTTGGGGACGGAGGTTGTCGAGCCTGTTCCTCCTGCCAAGGCTTCTGGATCTTACCAGCGACCCTTTCTTGCTGCCTTTCCTATGGACTCTTCCTTTTCTTTAAGGGCGGAGGGCTTGGAGGACGGCTGTGCCCCGGGGCCTCTGTTGCAGGTTCAAAGGGCTGTGGGGGATGCCTGCTAGCAGTTCCGGGCTGTTTGACCCTGGCGGGGTTTTCTGCTTCTGGGCAGAGTTTTTCACCCATCCAGTCTGCTTGCTTCCCACTTTTGCTGGCGTGTTTTCGTATCTTTGGGATCTATCCCGAGGCCCATCGTTTTCGATGGGCCTCGGGATAGACCACAGGTTGGATAGCCTTGATGACATTGTGGACAACCTGAAAGACGATGAGCTAAAAAAAAGAATGCACGCGGTGCTGTAGAAGAAGGAATCACGGAAATGCCTAAACAGACGTGATTATTCGTACAAAGTCTCGTGGAGCTGGTGTATGAGGTGTCTGGTTTAGCTGGTGTATGAGGGGTCTCGAGGAGCTGGTGTATGAGGAGTCTGGTTTAGCTGGTGTATGAGGGGTCTGGTGGAGCTGGTGTATGAGGGGTCTGGTGGTGCTGGTGTATGAGGGGTCTGGTGGAGCTGGTGTATGAGGGGTCTGGTGGAGCTAGTGTATGAGGGGTCTGGTGGAGCTGGTGTATGAAAGGTCTGGTGTATGAGGGGTCTGGTGGAGCTGGTGTATGAAAGGTCTGGTGTATGAGGGGTCTGGTAGAGCTGGTGTATGAGGGGGAGGGGTCTGGTGGAGCTGGTGTATGAGGGGTCTGGTGGAGCTGGTGTATGAGGGGTCTGGTGGAGCTGGTGTATGAGGGGTCTGGTGGAGCTGGTGTATGAGGGGTCTGGTGGAGCTGGTGTAATTACCTAAGTGTAATTACCTAAGTGTAGTTACAGGATGAGAGCTACGCTCGTGGTGTCCCGTCTTCCCAGCACTCTTTGTCATATAACGCTTTGAAACTACTGACGGTCTTGGCCTCCACCACCTTCTCACTTAACTTGTTCCAACCGTCTACCACTCTATTTGCGAAGGTGAATTTTCTTATATTTCTTCGGCATCTGTGTTTAGCTAGTTTAAATCTATGACCTCTTGTTCTTGAAATTCCAGGTCTCAGGAAGTCTTCCCTGTCGATTTTATCAATTCCTGTTACTATTTTGTATGTAGTGATCATATCACCTCTTTTTCTTCTGTCTTCTAGTTTTGGCATATTTAATGCTTCTAACCTCTCCTCGTAGCTCTTGCCCTTCAGTTCTGGGAGCCACTTAGTAGCATGTCTTTGCACCTTTTCCAGTTTGTTGATGTGCTTCTTAAGATATGGGCACCACACAACAGCTGCATATTCTAGCTTTGGCCTAACAAAAGTCATGAACAATTTCTTTAGAATATCGCCATCCATGTATTTAAATGCAATTCTGAAGTTAGAAAGCATAGCATAGGCTCCTTGCACAATATTCTTTATGTGGTCCTCAGGTGATAGTTTTCTATCTAGAACCACTCCTAGATCTCTTTCTTTATCAGAATTCTTTAAAGATTTCTCACATAATATATAGGTTGTGTGGGGTCTATGTTCTCCTATTCCACATTCCATAACATGACATTTATTAACATTAAATTCCATTTGCCAAGTGGTGCTCCATATACTTATTTTGTCCAGGTCTTCTTGAAGGGCATGACAGTCATCTAAATTCCTTATCCTTCCTATTATCTTAGCATCATCAGCAAACATGTTCATATAATTCTGTATACCAACTGGTAGATCATTTATGTACACAATAAACATCACTGGTGCAAGAACTGAACCCTGTGGTACTCCACTTGTGACATTTCTCCATTCCGATACATTGCCTCTGATTACTGCCCTCATTTTTCTATCAGTCAGAAAATTTTTCATCCATGATAGAA